GACCTCATGCAGGCACTGAAAACAGAAAAGCCTTGCCCCAATGCGTTTTCCCTCCTGGAAAACGGTTTCCTTGACTGCACGATCATAGGAATCATAGGTTCAAGCCGAACACTGCCGAGCGTGGCGTGCCGGGCATCTCCGAGTTGCTGATCTCTTCCGGCGCAGGAGGACCCTTCAGATTTGGAAAGTAAGTAGGCGATTCGGGGTTGTATAGGGGTTGTTTAAAGAGGTGTCCGTACAATGTCGCAAGGTTAAGGACATGGGTTGGTTTGAGGGCCCACGCTGGTTTGCTAACGGTCGGTTCGGGGTTTTAGGGTGTGCTGCAACCTGGCAACACTCATGCAGACCTGGATGCAAACTCGTGAGTGCCGGAAAGGGTACATAGAAGTGTGCATAAACTCAGGCAGCAAACCATCAAGCATAGTCATGAAGCCCCAAGCGGGCACCCGCCGCACCATGCCGTTGCCTCAAGCCACGTTTCCGCTACGGAGTTGAACGAACGGTTTGACTTCGCGACACGCCAACATCAGCGGCTCAGCGGCTCTCTCCGAGTCTAGCCCGAACAAGCCCATGAGGAGTCTTGAGTTACCTACATGTTTCGAGCCTGCTTTGGCCTGTATGAAACAGACCCTAAGGCAGATTCCAGGCATGAGGGCAGCATTCACAGCCTGGCTGTGTGGCTGACATTTACATGAGGTGAAAATTGGCGAGAAAGAGGGTATGCCGGTGTGGTCTACAGTGACACCGAGCTTTGCTTACGTGCCTTGGCTGTGAATAGGTACCTCGAAGTATCAGCTGTAGGGTTTGGGATTTGGGGTTTAGTGCATATATAGGGTTTAGATTTTCGGCAAACGGATCATGTTTCAGGGTTTAGGAACGACTCAATAGCTCGACAGGGGGCCTGATCCACACCGGAAGAGTCAGCATGAACAGTACCCCAAGGGTTTTTCCCTTCCGTGCTTACCCCGACATATTAAGTAACTTAACCTTACCAGCATGTTGAGCCGGCTCAGTACCTTGATCCCGTGTTTAGAGCCATTTTTCGGCCTGTCCCCGCCGCGGCGACAATTCTTGCAAAGACGCAGGCGTCGAATGTCTACGCGTGCTGTGGCGGCGAGAGTGGGCCGGTGACAGTAACTGGGTTCCTGGGCTGGACACTGATTAAGGCCTTATTAAAAGCCCTTGTTAGGCAAGCCCAGAATCCCCCAAAATCAGATATCGAGCCCTTCAATTTCTAATTTAAGCCCTTAGTACGCCAAGCAGCTGCAACTGTCGGCATGGCGCTCGCAGGCAGAGGTAAACCCGTAGAGCGACGGGTCAAAATCCTGTTGTACAGCATGTGCATATCAAGCTACCAGCGAAGGCAGCACAAGTATAACGAAACTGATCACGTTCCCGAGGCTGCGCTGAAGAGACTACTCGATGCGATGGAGGCAGCCTTGCAGCACAGGTGGTATATATGTAGCACTTGTATTGCAGTCACAAAGAGCAACGACCCTTTACTGCTACCGGTCTCAATGCCCTTTGAGACATTAGACTGTCAGAAGCACGTCCAGACGGCACTACCCGAGCATGCAAAACAACGTTTAAAAAGAATGGAAGTGGGTAGTTCAGGCCCTATGATGAGTAACTTGGCAACCGCAAAGTGACTGCGCCGAGGGGGAGCCGTGTGTTCAGCGGGTAGGGCCCTTAGTATAGATGGTACCCTTCCCCCTTTCTCCCCCCCCCCCCCCCAAACAGCACGGCTGATATTCTTCAGTAGTGGTCCCCTAAACCCTAAACCCTATACCCTAAACCCTAAACCCTAAACCCTAATAAACCCTAAACCCTAAAGGATCCACCCTTGGCTCTGGATTCCGACTCTGCACAGACGGATGCAGCCTGGGCCAAGGCACGACTTGGAGAGGGTTTGGGCTTCAGGGTGTGGCTGGTTGACCGGATCAGAGCCGGGGCTTAAAAAAAAAAAGGTGTGGCTGCATGAGTGTGTCCCTGGCATGTGCCAGGCCCCATCCCACGCCATCGGTGTCTCAAACTGCCCTTAAATGTTCATGTTTGGTGCGTTTCCTGCAGCTGTGAGGCCATGGAGAGACTAAAGGGCCCTTTGGCTGCCGCCAGTGTCGTCACTGCTACAGCTTGGAAGTGCTCAGTGTCACCTGTACAGGTCCAGGTTGCTATGGAAGAAATCACTGAGAAAGGATTTGGGGATGCCTGAAAGTCCAGCCAGATGGGTTCTGCACTTGAGGAGGTTGGGTGTTCATCTAGACATGTCAGGAAGATCGGTGTGCGAGGGGTAGGTATTGCTTGGTGATCGGGTGGCGCCAGAGTAGCACAGAGCTCTTTGTGACTCAGGTTGTGGCGATACTCAAGTCCAGAGAGCACGGGATCAACTTGGACAGCTGGTTGCATACAGCTAACTTTCCCTGGTGGCCTGCTTGTTCCCGCGAGAAAAGGGGGGGGTCCCGTTGTTCGAAGAGAGGTTGCGCGACCGAAAGGCTCCAAGTACCAATACAGTAGGTGCTTAGTAGGTATATGGCAAAGTATTATATACCCTACTATTACTTGGGAGTTTCCGAAAATTAGGGGTACCTCATTTTGCGGGTCCTTACAATAAAGATCCTACTATTTAGCGCACCATATTAGGGTCCCCTATTTTCGGAAACTCCCACAAACCATGCTATTGCTTGGACCCTTTGGGAACAAAGGCTCAGCTTGGCGCAAGCATGCCGAGGCTTCCACAGCCCCTTGGCCTGGGTATGACGGTTCGAGTGCTTGGGCTTAAACGAAGCAGGAAGACCAGGTAGCTGTCGAGCCGTCCTTTGCATACAACGCCCACGAAACATCAAGATGAGGGACTAGGAACAGGCTTCCGTGGCCATGCCTCCTCGGGCTGCATAGACTATGCATGGGATGGATTGTCAGTAGCGGGGCGGATGGCTGCAAGTTGTGCCTGATGTGGCGAAGTCCACGCTGCAGTAAGGGACAAGTCTTTTACAGACTCAAGAAGCTTGATAATTCCGAACTGGTGTTGAATACACATAAGCTTGCATGCAACACAGCAAGAATCCAACGAAAGCCGCTGCTCCTGCAAGTAGTCTTGCGGGGCAGTTCTCAAGTTTGTGGGTACAGAAAGAATTGAGTGGACCAGAGCATGCGAAGCAGGCTCAGAGGCTTGCTAAGTCTGAGGAAGTATGATCATGTCAGCAAGGGCCAGAAGAGGTTTTCCTGCCGTTATCGCTGCTCGCTTTCACGACCAAGGCGGGCTACTCTTGTGCAATCTGCTGAGATCGCGGTCCGAAGTTTAGCGTTATACTGGAGACTGGCAATCTAGCATGCACAAGTTGTGCCTCTATATTGTGACGGACTTTGCTTACGACTTTTGACTTTGTTTATGACCATCGCTGCCTAAGACTTAAGATGAGATGTGTGAGGTGCCATCAGGTCGAATGATAAGGCAGGTCCGTTGCTGTGCCAGACTGGATGCTCTCTGCTGCGAGACAAAATGGCAAGATGTCCCGTGCACAATAGAGGTCAAGCCAGCCTTACTCGATTTATTCACTCTTCCGGGCGAGGCTATTGCGTAGCGTTGTCCACCACTCCTTGCTAGCAGTGGAGCACCCAACTGGCCACTTAATCCACCTCGGTTGCAATGAAATGTGCCTTTTCTAGCGTAGGGCAAGAGAGCGTGAGACGTGGAGCTTGGTGTTCATTCTGCCAAAACCTGACACTGCTTTTGGAGTGTGCTTGACAGTCGCGGCTTTACAGTTCAGAGGTCACTGCCGGATGGGATAGCTTTCTGCGATGATGCCAAAGATCGTTTCACTGAATGCGTGGTATCGCAGTGCCGGAAGCCCAAAGCATCCCAGAACCCGCAATTCGTAGAATCGTAGAAGCAAGCGCTGCGCTCCAAGGCGATCGCTTCCCAGTCGGGGGCCCAGGGTGGAAGCTTTAAGTCAGGATACTCATGCTACTGTCGTACCTGCTCGGTTGTCACCGCCATCCCGCTAATTCGAAAGCTTCCCATGCTTGTCGGCATATGACGGCAATGGCCTCATCGGGGACGATGTGTCGTGATGATGAGAATGCCGATGGCATGGTACTAGTAATGGTGTTGACTCGGCTGATGACGTTGACTTCATGGTCCAGACGACGATTTATCGTTGAACCATTGCCATGTCCGTTGCGTTCCACCGTGCAGCAACACCACTGATCCTCCATGTCCTTCCCCTTGCTGCGCCTTCTGCCCAGACCACGGGCGCAGACTGGTCGTGCAGGCGCTGCGACCAATATAGCACTATTGCCATAGCCCGCGGGCAGCCGCCGTCAATCGGGACTAGTTTGCTCCTTTATGATAATGCGTATTATCTCCGTGATAAGTAATAGCAAACCTACTAATATCCTCCCTAAACCCTAAAACCGAAACCGGTTTAGAAAGGGATCCCCATATCTCCCCTGTAGCAAGCATACAAGGCCATTGGCTCGAACTCGCAGAGGCAGGAGGCGAATGACGAGCCAGAGCCCTAGGAGGATGCCTTCCTGCAGAGAGCTCCAGCTGACAAGATCGTTACTACTTTTTGTCATAGTTGGGTTGCCTTTTACACTTTCATAGGTACTTAAAGCGAATATGGAGCTTGTATCCATTTCTATCCCAACCATGAACTAGACTAGAGTGGGTGTGTGTGTGTGTGTGTGTGGGATGGGTGGCCTGCATGAACGTGTTACCAGTTGGCATGAGTTACTGGCCCTTGTGCGTGCATGTGCGAGAGGAGGTCTCAAAGCAACTCGCCAGAAGCATTCTCTACGAATCCCGCAGCCATAGATTCACAGTTCTGTGGTCCGAAAGCCGCAAGCCCGAGAGCGCAAAGCACGCAATCGGTGCGTGCATACGATATTCTACTTATATATAGATCATGTTACATAATCATATGTCTTACGGTGTATGATGGTGTATGTATCTTATGTGTGCATATATATATATATATATTGATTATATATAGTGTGTGATGTTTTCCTTGGGTCGGAACCATGGCTTCGAGCCGCTCGTGAATGTGGAAGACGGGAGCCCTAGAAGCTCCGGGGAGGCGGCGCAGGACTCCGAGTCATGTAGCTGCCTTCGGATTAAGCTGGCTTCCCGGAAGATCTCGAAGAAAAAGGCCGCCAGAAACAGCACTCGTCATGAATCTTCGGAAATCAAGGCCCCCCAAGCTCTATTCAAGCTGATGCTGCTGTTCCTGCTCTTCGCTGTGGGAGTATGTGTCATTGGCTTGAAGTTCAATGTGCTGGCCTTGTGGACGCAGTATTGGATCTACTTGCTGGTCCTTTTTCTCACTGGAATTCTCCTGCTCGTGGCGGGGATGATCAGCCCCAGATTGTACGCAAACCTCTCCACGAGCGATTCCTTAAAGGCAAGCTGGGCGAAAATGCAAGTTCTGGCTAAATTCCTCTTTCCGGTGATCCTTTTCTATGGAGATGTGATGAGCGACGTCTTGCTGATTTTCAAGTTCTGGGGCGAGGGCATGAGGGATTACGCGATTCTCAACTTTTTGGCCATTCTCGCTGGCTCCACTGCCTCAGTGGTGAACGGTGTCGAAAATGCCTCGCTGGAAAGCCTCCTGCTCACAGTGGTGATGTTTTTTCAGCTGACGCCTTTGGCAGTGGGTCTGCAGTCTATCGGGCTATTTTGTGCCGCAGTCGATTCCAGCGGGACAGACCCCAGGTACAAGAACTTAGTGGGGTACCTGCGTGATCGAGGCTGTGACACACTCCTTGCACATGCACTGGTCGGAGAGGCATTCACGGAAGCACTTTTAAGTACATTTCTGCAGACCTATGCGCTCCTGCGCCACTCCATAAGCTGGACACTTTTGACTGAAATGTCTTTAGTCTTCAGCATCGGATCGATCGTGAAGTCCTTTGCCAAGTTGGACCTGCGTGGCCACGTGTCCCGGGATATTAAAGGCCAAGCCATAGTCGTGGGCTTGGCGGAGTGGACGTCTGTTCCCTTCATCCTGGTTGTGATCTACCGGCTCGCGGAAGTAGCAAGCCAGGTCCTGTTCTTTCCGCTCTTTCAGCTGGTCGAAGATCGCCACGGGGTGATCTTTGGTCTTCGATGCAGCGGGGTCCTGTTCTGGCTGATGGACCTTGTCCTGCAAGCAGCCCTGGTGTATCACAGCACCCGAAACCCAAAGAAGCTTCTGTGGGCAGTCCCGAACACCATCGGTGCCTTTGAGCCCATGCTGCTGGCGGGCTCCGAAGCAGTCTTTTGCACCTCGGCACGTCTCCAGGTGTTGATCCACTTCTTCGAGCTGGTCTTGGCCACTGCTTTCGTTTGCTTCTTCCACACCCAAAGGGTTTATGAGTTTTATCTGGAGCACCCCCGCATCATCTGCGGCTTGCTCATTTGCAACGTGATCAAGTACGGACTCTTTGTCTTCATAAGGACGTTTTCGGCATATCCAGTCATGTGCTCGGAGGAGTTTCCGTTCGCGAAGATTCTGACAAAAGACGCCATCGCAGTTGCCGATCTTGCTGACAAGCGCGTGCCACTAGAAGTGTTGATTTACTCAAACTTTAGTTTGGACAAGGGGACGGACCGAAAGAAGATCTTCGATGCAATGAACCGGCAGAGAGACGGATTTCGCGACGACATGGCTGGCAATGTTTGTCATTTGGTTAGTCGTCTCGCCCACAACCATAGCCGGGAGAAGAAGGAGTCGTTGATACATGATGACGGTGCAGGCGATGCGGTCCTTGCCGCTGTGGACATGCACATCGATGATGAGCAAGACGATGTCCCGGCGCTAAGGGGGGCCTGCCGAGCCATCCTGAACTTGACGGTTGGCAGCGCCAAAAACAAGCGTTTCTTTGCCGAGCGTGGTCCAGGGCTGATGTTGAAGTGCATGCAGAAAAAGGACCGGTTCCTCCGCAGATATGCCTGCTTCACTCTCGAAGCTTTGGTCGCGGACGAGGACATTCGTGCCAAAATGTCACAACACTTGGAGCCCATCGTCGGCAACTTGCAGGCGGAGCATCGGGCTGACAATCTGCTTCAAACAGCTGCGTGTGGACTGATTGCCAAACTCGCCTGCGATGAGGACCTCCGGAAGGAGCTGGTGAAGGGCAGGGATGGCAGGGGTGGTTGCACGGCCGAGGTTGTCGAAAGCATGCGCCAGCATCCCAACGACATGGACGTCCAGCGCGACGCGTGCTATGCACTTCGGATGTTAGCACCGGCCTTCGACCCGGACACACAATTCGAGCTATTATCTATGGGAGTGCGCGCAGATATCCGGAAGGCTATGGAAAACCACAGCAATCAGCCGTCCTTGCAATACGAAGCGTGGAACCTGTTGCAGAGTTTGGATGCAGGTGGTGCTGGAAGACACGTGTATGCATTGGAAGGCGATTGCTCTCCCGGTGGCTTGATGCATTTCCGTGAAGGCGCATCAAGGTCGCGTGCAGTGAGCAAACCTGATTGAGCTGGGGGCCCAGTGAAGGTCGACTTCCAGCAGGACCTGTAATGAGATGGCTATCACTGAGGGCATTGCTTCGATGAAGTGCCTACCTGTAATTTCGTACGAACTAGTCCTAAGCCGTAGAACTCGAACCTCCCAGCACTGACGCTTAAACACGGACTCTCAAGGTTTGTTAGATGCGGCGTGTGGGGAAACATCCTGCACGCTTAGCCTGGAACATTCGAGTGTTTTCGTGAACACGAAAACATTCAATCGGTGATTGCCAGTCGCCAGTGTTACAGTAACTACCACTTTGTGAGCAGGAATTCCGATAACCACCTGGCAAAGCTAAGGTGGGTGCTTGTCTCAAGGAGGCGTCTTGTGTTCCCTCAGAATCAGAAGCGGCTCCTTTGCCCGAAGAAACTGCGCCTGCCTGCGGAGCAAAAAAGTTGCGTTGCTTCTTCCTCGGCCTAGGTCGAGTCCCAGTTTCGTAGAATTATTCACCTCAAACGTTTGGAGGGAGAGCATCAACATCCGAGACCCCATATGCCTCAAAGCCAGGAGCCCCACAGCCGAAACCCTGCTCCCCAAATTCTGTCGCGGGTAGTCTGTATGTTGTTGTCAAGCAAGTGCCAACAAGGAGCACGTATGGGTAGCGAGGTCCTGATCGGTCGCTTTTATGACACTTTTGTAGTCGCTCCGATTTCATTGGATACATGGTTGGCATATTGAAGGGCATGTGCGGATAATTCTGTCTTACATCTTCTCCTGGCAACGGTTCGTCAGCTTACGAGGGCCCCGTACTGTGCATCCTTCGCGAGTGTCCAGCTCCTGAGCCTTGAGTGGCCCACGTGTTTCGGGCATTTGTGGAACTCCTGATGTGGTAGTATTTATAGGGGCCTACATAATTACCAATACTGTTTTTGGTGGGTTCCTTATTAAAAATTATGGTAGGAAGGGCCCCAACACCCTATTCTAATTAATGCTATTAAGGCCCCTATATTAGTGGAGGAAAGCCGCTGCGTCATGAAGTGGCAGCCATCAGAACCCCAGCGAGTATCCCTGGTTGTGCAAGAAGCACTGCGGACTGCCTTCTTGCAGAGAGCATGTACCAAACTCAAAGCACTATCAAATTGAGGCCGGAATAATTATATCATTCCTCACGGGTCCTTATCATAGATATACTACAATGGAGCCAAGGACCCTACTCTGCTTATTAAGGCCCCTATATGATGCCCTAAAATTCTGTGCCATGAGGCTGGCGCTCTGGGAGCCACGACCTCAGAGATCTCGGAGCATTCCAGCAAATCCTCCTCTGGTACAGAGCAGCGGCTTGGGGTTCAGGGTTTAGAGCTTAGGGAAAGGATTCTCTGGCAAGTTGATGTGAAAAGGCATGTGTAGAAGTAGATGGATTGGTAGAAATACGTATATGCAGAGTTACGGTTACGCATATGTACCTAGAGAGGCCAGCAACGAAGAGCAAGACATGACTGCCTCTAATATGTACGCACATGCCGTCAGGCCATGCTGTTAAGCAACAGCCAGTATAGTAGCTGCGACGCTCAAGAGGCGTCCATACTCCTATAAGAGATTGTGCAGTTAATTACACAGGATAGTTCAAGGAGGTCATAGAGGCATTGCACATCGAAGCAATAACTCGAAGCAATGACGGGGCATCAACAACAGTATCCGAGCTGGCATTTCAGCGTACTATTGTGCGGCGAGCACGAGCCACAGTCTGTTGACGGTGTTGCATCATGGCTTATCGTTTGAGGGATAGTTCCGTGGTGCATCTGCCGACTCACCTTGAGGAATGACTCCTGCAGACCTTGTTCCTAAGTAGCTTCGGGACGTGTGCCGGTGTTAAGTTCCCAAAGGTCAGTCAATGAATGGTTGATGGACTCATCGGTGCTGAGAAAGCTGTGGCCTTGGTTCCAACATGACATCCCTGGATTCATGGGTGCATCTGAAGCCACGTCTCCACCCTGAGCTACATGCTTGAGCAGTATTGCTGATTCGGAACTCGTTTTGAGGCACTGTGATGACCATGCCTGCTTTTGCTCACTGCATGATCTGAGATGTTACTCGTAGCATGAACATCTTCCACAAGGCTGTTCAAGATGACTGGTCCTACATAATCACACTCCATCCCAGTATGGCGAAAGCCACCGCAGTAGTTCAAGCCTTTCTTCAATGAAGTAGGCTCTTCTCTTTGCCTACAACCCGCTGTCCGACTTTGGCTCACAGCATCTTGTTGGGCAGATCCTTGAAATGGGTGCTATGCTCACATGTACTAGTGGTTGCAGGCTCAGGGTCTACAGAGCGTAGGGCTCTACGGTGCAGGCAAGTTCAGTCTTGCTTTTCCATTTGTTGCAGATTTCGGGTGCGAGCAGATGCTAAGCACTTACAGGTTTCAGCTAAGTCTACGACTTTGATCTGCGCTGCTCTTCTGCGGAATCTGTCGACTCTTTAGTGAATCTCTTTCTCAGCCTGCCGATGTAACCCACATTCTTTGGACTCAAAGACGAGGGCTGAAGCTGAGCTCATAAGCCGATATCGCCATTTAGACTTTCCTGCAGCCTGCAACTCGCAGGAGCCGGGTGGGAGCTACGAGTAGGGCAACAGAACCGAAGTCTTGAATGCAAGGAATTGCAGCCACGGAAAGGACTCCCCTCACTGGAGGGCGGGGCTTCCGTTTCCGTGCTGAGGTTTCGCAATGTCTCGCAAGTCCCATCGGTCTTCGCAGGGTGGAATGGGTGTCGCACACGTGTAACAAGGTGTAGCCTCCAAGCTCCCAAGATTGAAGCACGGCATCTTCCGGTTCATGTCGATGCTTAAGCTTAGCGCGCGAGCAGGAGCGATGGGTGTGGCCGTCAGTTCCTTAAGGAACTCCTGTTGTGTGGACAAGACAGGCCTGGCCTTTGCTGAGCTGGATTGACGACCTCAGTCCATCGGATGTTGACAGGTTGGAAGTTGAGGGGATGCTGCGCAGACTTCTTAGTTGACCTGAGGTTGCGACCGCAAATGGAATTGCAACAAACATTGACTGCACCATAGCCAGGGAAGAAGAGAAAGAGAGTGAGAGAGACAGCTAGAAACAAATCGACTTTGAACCCCCCCTGCCTCAAACTCACCGGAGGAAGGCTCGGAAGGAAGGAAGAGAGGGACCGAGAGGGACTCATTGTGCATTGTATTATGATGTAAAGTTGCAGCTACTGTACAATCTCTAGAAAGAACTCGTATGTTGCGCAGTTCATCGAGCCCTCGTCAGTCGGTCTGCCCTGACGGAGGTAGTCGAGCAGAGATTTTGTGACCTTCTCGGTGAGCAAGTTGCTACAACACCGTTTGCAGAGTCGTAGAGCAAGCATTGAGTGCTGACCAACAACCGAAATAATTGGCGGCGTGAATCTGAATCAGATCGAATCGCATGGACTCGTGGACCCTAAACCCTAGACCCCTAAACCATATAATAAAGGGCTGGGATTGTCCTCGGCCATGGTCGTGCGACCATGCCTCCACGACGGGCCGCAACTGGCCAGAATGCCCCAGCCATTTCTGCAAATCATTTCTGCTGGACTTGCGTCTGCATCCTGGGAACAAGCCTCGTCGGACAGATCTGTCTCGTAGTTAGCTTGCTTGGCCGGCTGGCAGAAGTTCAGCATGCTGGAGAGCTACAGTCAACCGTGAAGATAGCAAACGCCAGCACTACGAGTTCGATTGACGTTGAACCGAGCAAGAAGGGCCTTGCAACACCTGCAGCAGTCGGAACGTCCATGGACTTCTTGGCAGTTGCTTGTGCCGTGGGCGCAGATCAGGACGCCACAGTGTTGTTTATTCGATCCTATCAGCGTGCCACGCCGAACGAGCTGGTCCTTCTGGTGGAACAGATGCCTTTGGAGTCCGACTTGCGGGACAGTGGTGTCGACCTCACACGGCTCAAGCTGGAGAGAGTACTGCCTCTACCGTCCATGTGGAGCATGCTCTCACGCGAGGATACATACATATTTTACATTCACCAGTACCTCCAACGAATGCCAGGCCAGGTGAAGATCATGCAACTCTCCAATGTCGATGATATAGTCTTCCAGGCCGACCCCTTTGCATGGGCTTCTGAACAGGAGCCTGGGCTACAATTATTCCTGGATAAGCCCGGGGTCGTTGTCAACTCCGGCAAGGCGTGGAAGCTGATAGAATTTTGCTATGGCACTCAGGCCGCACGCCTGCATTCGAAGCCACGGATACCTGCCGGCTACATGATCGGTTCGAGCGCTGATTTGCAGCAATTCGTGTCGGATCTTGTAGGCGAGGTGACTGCCAGAGGTGCATGCGGGAACAGGCCGGGAGCGGTGAGCGCGGCGGAAAACTTCATGGCGCACCTGGCTCACCCAGGTATCAGTCTGCATCTGCACGACAATCGCAGAGGCCCTGTCTGGTCAGGCGAGCATGTCCCTGCCAACTCCTTCGTGTCAGACGCAGAGAACCATGTCATCAACGAGGATGGCTACCAATACGCAGTGTTGCGCAGCTATCATGCTCATGACGAGCTGTGGAGGAATATTCAGCGGAAATTCGACCAGTCACAAGCACCAGCTGAATCTCACGCACCCGACACTTGTGCGGTGTTTCATGTGGAGGCCTGTGACATGCCGGGTCACGACCTGGCCCACACTCCGAAGGACACAGAATCTGACTGCTGCGCAGCTTGTGTCGCTAATGTGGGCTGTGGTGCTTTCACTTTTTCACTTTCGCGAAGGCACTGCTGGTTGAAAAGGCCCGGCGGGGCCAAGAAGAGTAATCCAGCCTCAGACATGCGATGTGGCGTTCGAGTGGTCGAGGCCACGCAAGGCTTGCCTCCCACAGGTATCGTTTGACATGAGTCAGTGAGAGATAATTGGCAAGCAATGCCGAAAATGATTGCTGCGAGCCGACGCAGCTTCAGTACAATTTGATTTTGTTGGTCTCTCACTCTCTCTCTCTCTCTCTCTCTCTCTCTTTGTGTGTCTTTGCCGCTTCTCTTCTCTTGCAGATGGCACATGTCCACAGCGGAAAACACTTATTTAGTAGTGATAGCAAGAAGGATAGTGATCATAATCTAAGATACTTGTAGCAACAATAGCAGCACACATGAGTTGGTTATTATCTTGATGATGATCATCATATAGGTGTGTATCTTATGGTATATCTTATGTATATATACACACATACACGTAACTACATGTCTGGATGCTGGTCTGGTCTGGTATGTATGTATGTATGTAAGCAATGTGTCCCACATTTGCCATATATGGAATCTGTAGTCATACTCTTGAAGTTAGTATGTAAACATATATACATATATGGATATACACACTTGACTGGTACACAGCAAGTCACGCCTTGCGCATGCACTTGTACCGTACCTGTCTATCTATCTATACATAGTGCACACATCTGTGCAACCATGAGCGCACACACACACACACACACACACACACACACACACACACACACACACACACACACACACACACACACACACACACACACACACACACACACACACACACACACACACACACGCGCGTGCGCGCATTTGCATACATATATATATATATATATATGCACTTTGTATGGCCATGTGAGGAGACACATAACCACACATATGGTTGACCCGACCCATATGGTTGACCCAACCGAGTTGCACAGTCTCTTCCTGAGTCAGCAGTGCATGTGCCCAAGACGCCAAAGGCTGAACATCGAGCGTTCTAAACCAAAAACCAGCCTCGAGCTTCGACAGGGCTGAAGCAGTACACCTGCAGAGATTGGGAATTCGGAATCCAGGTGAAACGACAAGGGATCCGAGTTTCGGATACAGGAATTAAATTGAAGGTGTTGGGTCTTGGTTTAAGTGTTTAGGATTTTGGGCTGAAGGCTGGGGCGGCTGGGCAATTGTCAATTGTGCACTGCAGCTCCTGCTCTGCAAAGTCCTAAGGGAACAAATGTCAAAAGACAAGCTGTGCTGGACGGCTCAAACTGGCAGCCGGCCAGCAAGTATCCCTAGAGCAGGCCCTTAACCCAGCATCCCAAGAAGCCTTTGTGTCCGAGCCCATTCTGATGCAAGTAAAGTTTAGCTGTAACACAGATGGACGGGCTCCTTTTTGTTTTAGGTTGCGTGCGAAACATGTCCGCAGTGCTCTGGCCTCATCCGTGATGGCTGGCGTTGCACGAACTGGCGGAAGTTGCTGATGGTGCTTCATTGGAAGGCCACCGCTTGTAATGAGTTTGTTGATCACTGCTTCGCTTGTAGCCGATGGTTTGCTGAGAAAGCAGACTGCAGTCTCAGCACTGGGGGGAGTCTTGGTGTACAGTCTGTGCAGTTGGGCGGTAGGAAGGTCCTTTTCCTTTTCGAAGCTCTGAGGCGCCAACCGAGTCAGGCTGCCACCTGAACCAGTCAAAGGTCCTGCTCTCAACAGACTACCTGGAAGACGGCGGCCTGTTGGCACTAGAATCCATCTAAGAGACCTGGGGTTGATAAGATGCTATGGCCACAGATCAACGACTACAGCGGAATAGTAGCAGTTTCATTGGCCTCTTTAGAGATTCATGCGAGTGGGTGCTTCGTAACCAAGGTGCCCCCATCAACGCCAATGCTCCCTCGAGCACCACCGTGGAGCTGTGGGGCGTTCCTGGCCTTCTGATTGGGTGCCAAAAGGGTCAGGGAAGATCAGGGGCGGTGCGGTGAGTGCAGCACATATCACAGACAGAGCGGTGTAAGGTGTCCACGAAAACCGAGGGTTCGCCTATAGGGGTCTGGCTAGACTTGAGTCCAGTAGAAGACGGTTCGAAGTTACAGATCCAAGTTTCCAAGGTGCTCAGTGGCGAGTCCTGGACGCGAGGTGCTGGGCACAGTTTAATGGGAGGGACCTTTCCGGAAACTATGCTCGAAATCCCGTTGGACGATTGTTGACTGTTGGACGTGTGCTGAACCCACCATGAGCATCAGCTAGAAGTGTTTCTTTTTTCTGACTTTTGGCGGTAGCCTCGTCTCAAGTTCATAGTTTCGCCCTTGATCGTGCGGATGGCGGCTCAACCGATAACCGATAACTATGCTTCTGTCGAGTTAGTTCAAGAGTTCGGGAGATGATGAGGGTGTACAGTTCCTGTGTCAGCCTTCACCAAAGACGTACCACAGAACCAATGACCAAGAGAACCCTAAACCCTAAACTCAGGATTCTACTGACCTCAACTGCAAGGTGGAAGAAGGTGCTCAAAAAAAGCCCTAAACTCAACGGTGAGGTCGCGACTTCTTCGGAAGGGGGGAGTCTGAGGGTGAGGAATCGGTCTCCTTGAACGGCAGCGAGGAGCGAGGTCGTTGTGGCCGGTAATATAGGGGCCTTAATACTTAGAATAGGGTTTTGGGGCCCATTATACTATAGTTACATATTGGAAATTATTAAGGCACCTATAGCAGCATCACGCAGAAGGTATGCAATGTAGCGGGCGGGAGAACTATCAATACTGTTCCTTACTGCAGGGCTGCTTGTGATAATCATGGAATATCATACGCTTATGCCCCCAAACCCCTGTTCTAATTGTCAAGGTTCGCATCTGTAAGGGCTTTGGGACTCATGTGGAGCGCCCCCCAGACCCCCGGGAGGATCTACAAAGTAGATCCCCTCATTTGGGGCCCTATACTACTAAGGCTACTTTATAGGAACCCCCCATTAAGGGATCTACTTTTTGGATCCTCCAGGGGGTCTAGCCCGGCAGCTAGGTAAGTGAGATGCTTCCTGGTTCCTAGGGCAGAGGGTGTGGGAGGGCATATGAGCCACTTTTCGGCATAGCCTATCCGATACTCGTGGCCAGTGTAGACTCCTGCCTGCGTACTCGTACGGCTGTTACGGTAAATTGGCTGAGCCTGAAGCTGACTGCTTGAGGAGGATTTCGACGAATCCAGATGTGGAGACGACGACGATGCGCAGGCGATGTGTTGATCCTATCTTGTTCCAGCGCTGTCATTGACTTGTATGTCGACAGGTGGATGGTGACCGGTTCTGGCAGGAGAAGGAGCAGCTTCCGTTCGACGGACGCTTGTCCTTGCCAGGGTCGGCTGTACAAAATTTCGAGGAATTTATAGTGAAGGCAGTCAGTAGCACATCCTGTTATGTCTTGTTTGTATATTTCCTGAGTAGCTGAGTGGACACACTTGACACTTTTTGGGAGAATATTACCCACTATAAAACTAAAAGTGTACATTGTACATTTTGGGAAGCACAGGCCGTTGTGTCACTTTTTGCTCCCAATACGCTTGAGCTGGCCGTGAGGTCTGTTGCTGACCAACGAACACGTCGGCCAGATGTATCCCGGCTGAGGGGAGCCTGCCTTTAGTGCTTGTGGAAGGCATCGGATCTGTTTCGCCAGGTTTAAGTGATGACAAGGCAGGGGTCAAGGATCCCAGGCCAGGCTGATCAGTTTGCGCGAAGTGTAAAAGAGTTCGAGCCTCATTTTATGGACTCTGTAAGCCCATTTAAACTCTAAACCCTTACACCCCAGTACTTGGAATCAGAGGGAGCAATCCATGCCTCGTCGATGACGACCGGGAGCCTTAGCTTTATACCTGTGATTCTTGCATTATACTACTGTACGTATAATGACGGTATACATATGAATATTTCTGTACTGTATTGATAGCTTTGCTTTCATTGTTGATTAATCGATGTTGTGCTTTGCTTTGTCGTCCCCAGCCAGAGTCTTGTGGACTATCTGGAGCCTTGCCTGCCTTATGCGAGTGCGGGCGTCCAAACCCGCAACCCAAGGCTGGTCCAGGAAGTGGCGGTGGGTGGAAACCATTGCATTCTGGTGACCGATGCCGGCCACGCCTTCGCGTATGGATCCAACTGCAGGTGGGGCTGCATAATTACCCCGTGCTGTTAGGTTTAGTCTTGATATGCCCGTGTTCGGTTTTGCTCGTTTTCCGTGCAAAAACGATAAGAAGAAAATACAACGATAACAACATTCAGGGATAAGGATTTTTATACGGTGTTACTATACAACCCCAGGTTGGCTTTGAAGTAAATAGCGACGACAAATTGCATAAGCAGTAGTGCCAGTAGTACTAGCAGTTAATGGCATAGAGCCTGGGTTCAAAAGTACTAGCAGTTATAGGTCTTAACCATAAGAAGAATAGCAGTGACAATAACAATGACAATCACAAGCAAAGATGACGAAACATAATGATGACAGTCTCGAAGATGATGACAATGGATTTAGGTACTGGTAGTTACAATGACCAAGGTTTCCGAGACTTGGGGTCACTTGTGCTGGTCTTGCCGGTCAGGATCCCGAATCTGTTCATACTCCCACATGGATCATCTCCGCAGAAGCATGCCGAGATAAGTTACGCACCCAACTTGCCCACTAGTCTCCTGCATCAACGGGCCGGATGTTTTCTTGAGATGGCGGCGTTGAAGGCGTCATCTTGTCATAGAAGTTGCTTCATGGCAGCAGTTCCGCCAGGGTGTTACAGTCGGGCGGCGGAATGTCACACAGCACACATTAGCACATTACGGTGTACTATGACATGCACTACGTTATAATACATTAAATGAGCACTGTGTCATATTGTTTGTCTCCTGCCCAAAACAGATGTCGTCAGTGTCTTCCAAGGCTCCAGACTGTTTCGGGCTCAGACGTACTGGGGCTTGTCTTATGCGTGCCCAACCAGTGGAACCGAGACTTTTTGTGCGTATAGATATACATGCCAAATGCATGCGCGACGGCATTGTTAATTCTACACTGCAGGAGTTCAGGGGTGAACATGTGTTGGTGACACTAAAAAGCAACCCCTAAGTTCGTCTCCTAGAAAAGCCAGCCTTCCACTTCCGTGAGGGGACAACTGGGGCTCGGAGACTTCAGCTATGAGGCAGGGACCCTTCGGATCTTAATACAATAGAATACTATAGCACAAAAGTAGAAGGAAATGTAGTATCTAATTATACAGCATACACTAGCACATTATATAATAATACACTAGATAATGGTACGATACTTTTTTTTATCTGTTTGGTGCTTTCGCTAGCCGGCATAGCGTACCGAAGTGTCATGTGGCAAGAGTGCGGTACCACTCCCCGGTCTACTACAGAACGTGTCCTACCATGATGTAGTGGCAGAGCTACAACATAGTTTACCATGACATGGAAAGGTCATAGTTATATATCGCAAAGCACTCTGCGAAAGTAGATTGCAGCGATGCCAGTAGAGTGATGCACGATGTAGTGCAGTCCACCATGCAAAAAGCAGTGCTTGACACTTTTATGCATCAGGTTGCAACATATCACGCTTTAGGCCGCAGCTGCAAACTGGCGGAGTGTGGTTCAGGATACTCCAAGTAAAATGAAATTGGTTTGCATGGCAGGGTAGCTGGTATTCAGTATTGCTTGCGGTGTTTGGCTGCAAGTGCTGCGCAAAAGAATACATCTCAGGAAGCAGTTGATAAGGCCGGGATAGAGTGCAAGATCGTTTGTCATAAAAGACGCCGGGGGGGGATCAGACCAGTATTGCTGTGTAGCACAACGGTGCATAACAGAGAGAACTTGAAAGAGTGTCACCACACGTGATGGGACACAATGGGCTATGATGTGTTAGAATGCATGGAGCATAGCGAATTGGACACACTCCATTTGTTGACTATTACATCCTGTATGATGTGTTTCCATAAATCCTCCAACAGCTTACTCTACGTGATACATGCCAATCTTAAGCCCTCCAAAAGGGCATTGTCAGAATCTTAAAGAATAGCTGGAATAACTCCATTTACGTGCTTATACGTCTACTTATAACCGACTTACTAACTCCCTTGAGCCCCCAATGATAAGCCCTAAACCCTAAACGGACGTGATCGGTTTCACGTCTTTCATGGGCGTGCTCAAGACGAGCCTCTTTGATCCGAACCTTGATGATTCTTCAAACTGTTATCTCGTAAACATGCTCGGTCCCGGGGCACATAACCTATCTATCGTAATCTCTCAGCACTTGCCTCTGTCCCTTACATGCGGCAGTTCGACAGAAGTAGCGGCTGAGATCTTAAACTATGTCATATGTGGATGTTGCAAGTGAAAGTGTTGTCATGCTGTCTGGAAATCTCTCGCTGGTGCAGTTTCACACGTGGCTAGCAGACCTCGAAGCATATGCCTCGCCTGGATTGTCCGAGTGTGAGCGCTGAAACCCCTTATAGAAACCTTATAGATCCCTTTAAAGGAACCCGGCCTTAAACTTACTTTTGGTTAGTAGGGAGTAGTAGTAGTAGTAGTAGTAGTAGTAGTAGTAGTAGTAGTAGTAGCCCCATTCCTCCGTTTCTTACTAACCAACGGTAAGTAAAGGACCCCTTATAGAAACCTTACCCCTAAACCCTAAACCGGCCTTATAGATCCCTTTAAAGGAACCCGGCCTTCAAGGACCCTACTTACTAAGTCCCTTGGGCCTCCAAGCAGGATCACGACCCATCCAGCCTCGCACTCGCCGCGATACCGCCGCTGAAAGGACCAGGTGCTGAGTAGGGCCGGGGTTTTGGGGTTCGGGTGTGAAGTTGAAGGTCTTCTAGGGGCTTCGGGTTTGGGGGTTTTAGGGAAAAGGGGGTTAAGGGGTTGTAGCTATTTCGGTGGTGGGGTTTTCAATTTCCTCGTGCTCTTTTCTTACCCTGTGACCTTTATTTACGGTGTCCTTGCAAATGTCTCTGATGTTCACACAGTTGGTGAGATTGTCCTTGTTCCAGCAGACCAAGGTCGAGTCGAGTAGGTCTCGGCGGGGGGGGGAGCTCCATCGCGTGTGTTAGTGATTGTTGAGTGAGATGTGGGTTCTGAAAAGCGATTCAGGGCCAGCCGGATCTTGTCATCTTGACAGGCAGTACCGGCACGGTGTCTAGCCTGTCCAGTCTACTTGTACCTCGAATTCAAGTGTCAAGTTTTCAAGACGGCCAGCTCCTCGGTCCATGGGTGTGCCAGGCGCGCAGCCTCAGAAAATCATTGGCGCAGCATGCGGAGGCCGCATCAAGGGAAAAGAGACATGCAAAGGTTGTACATACACCCAATCAGGACCTAATCGCTATCCCCACATGGATGTGATGAAGTAGTTTTTCTGCAATTGCCTACAGCGACAAGTTTGACTTTCCTGTCGGCTATCTGGCATGTGTGACAGCAAATTTTTTGGTGCGGGTACCAGTCGGAGTACCCCAGGTGCGGCTTCATGACTCGACAAATTACTTTGGCACCTGTTGGTGTGAAGACACTCTGTGCTCTCAGTTTATTGCCGTTGTCCCTAAGCTTTCAGCGCTCAAAGTACCTTTGTTACCGTTCACTATAATGATCTTGGCTGTATGCCACGGCTCCAGAAATCTTCTGGTGACCCCATGGCCTGACGATGGACACGCATGGTTTGGCTTTTCGCCGCGGAGTGCGTAAACACCAAGGGCTGCTCTCCCACAAGGATGTGCGAGTGCTATCCTCGCATGCCCGCTCTATCCAGCTCTCACTATCGAGAGTCGAGATAATGTGTCAGTGAGTTACAGGAAAGCAGACATGTTTAACCTACTAGAAGAGTTTGATCTGCACTCACGCAGAGCACGGGAGGCGAGCACACCTTGCTGCTGACGAGAGATGTGGATGGCACGGCACAAAAGGCCGGATGAAATTTTCCGACTGGTGCCTATGGAGTAGCCCGATCCGGAGATATTTGGGGTATCGCAGGGTGGCAGCGGTACTGAAGCTGCCAGGTCTCGTAGCTTGTTCATCGTTGCCAACAGGCCTACATCTGCGGGGCATGGGAGGCCTGCGGTCTGGACAGCTGTCAGGACAGGGGGCCGTTTGGCTGGTCTTGAATCAATGTTTGCTACGCGGGAGTTGTCCATAGTTGACCTAGTTACATGAGGGTGGTTGTCAAAATTATGGTCCCTTGGGATCCCTACTATACTACGGCACCCTCCTATTTCGGGTACCCAAAAAGGGACCCTAATTTTGACAACCACCCGTGAACCAGTTTGGCAGTGTTGTCGAGAATCTGTGCATCTGCTGGACCCAGAGACTCCAATACCCCTTCATTGAGGAATAAACCTCAAATCAGAGTAGGATCCCTAATATGATTTAAGGAATATTCCTTAATTAAGGTATATTGGAGTCTCTGGGGACCTCCGACATGGCAGGACCGGGCCATTCCCACCCTGCTGCCGAAGCCTGGCCCGAAACAGTATAAAGGCATGGAGGCACAGAGCGAAGACTTCCGAGCTGTTGGTATTTCAATGTGGAGTCAGTGTAGAGCTTAGAGTCTTAGAGGATCTCTGAGATGGCTGACCAGCTGAGGCAGACTGTAAGTCAGAATTACTCCGACAGCGGGTCCGGCACAAATATGGCTTGACAGGGGTTTGATTCCGGATGGCCAAAAGCCGGCATGATCCGAGGTTCCAGCACAGCGTCTCTGCAGTGGCTGCTCGAGTTGGGTGCAGCTGCTGTGCGGTGGCCGAATCTGACTCCCAGTCGCTGGCCGTGCGAGCTAAATCCGGTTTCGGATTCCTATTAAAGTGTGCAGTGAGGGTCCATCGCAATCCATCGCATTCGGTTGAAGTTGCTGGACGCCAATCTCTCGCTTTTGTGAAGCTTGCGACGATGCATTGCTTTGTAGTTTGCCATGTCTCAACTTAAGCCCTGCCACGGGGCAACTCGCCCTGGCAGTTTTTCACCTGCACTGGACGAAACGGTGTGTGCAAGTCCAGGAAAGGCCATCTTCTTTACCTTTGGGGTGAAGTCGATTGCTGTCCTTGCCCTGCCGCTTGGCCTGGAGTCGTTGCTGCATTCTCGGAAAGACCATTAGGTACAAGCTATAAGCACAGCGGGGTCCGTCTTGGGCCGCTATGAAGTTCTGCGGGACGGAAGCGGGGATGGTTTTGCGGACGCACTCGTCTGTGATACATGTGGCGAGGATGTGCTGGATCAGCCGACGCCGTGTTTCCGACTGGAGCGACCGGTCCGGACTCTGACACTTGTTGTGCAAATGACGGAAACCATGGTAAGTTCCTGGTCGCCATGGCAGTAGTCATAATCGTCGCTGTCAAGTCCGTAAAGCTCCTGCAACTGTATGCATCACAATAGTGTGGAGGACAAGAAAGACAAGAAAGCGAAGCAATGGCAGAGTGATAGGGGTGAGGCTTCAAGACCCACTTCAGACACAACGCTTCTTCGGTGGGTTGGAGTTTGCTAGCTTTCCAGCTACAGGCGCACCGAACTGGTGGGGAACATAATCCTTTGGAGCTTCTTGCAAGGACTGTACTAGAAACCGCAGACTTAGTTGGTCGGCTGTAAGTTGAGGAAAGAAAATCCTGTTGGGATGCAAAGTCACCCGAATGACCAAACAGCTGGGGACACAGCAAGCTTACATCTCTGCATGTGCATGATTGGCCCGCAGTTAAACCATCTTGTTGCGGCACTTTTGCGGCTGGGACGAGCGGATGTAGCGTGTCTTGGTTTCAAGTCAAAAGAAACATTGTGAGACAGAGGAAATACACAAATGCATGCCTTCGCACACGCATGTGCACATTTACGCAGTCGCACACCTGCTTGCAGTATTTACCCACGTATCCGCCTACCTATTAACAACATACCTACACACCTACATACATGCATACATACACAGGAGGACGCATGCAGACAGACAGTAGACAGAGAGCGACTGACAGAGCACGCCCACACGCAGACTAGGTACCTACCAACTTACCGAATGTATGTAAGTATCTCTCTTTGCCTGCCTACCTAACTACCTACCTATACGTGCGTACTACAAACATACATATACAGGCACACTTCGCGCACACACACACACACACGCACGCACGCATGCATCCATACAATCATACATTCAGTCATTCGTACGTGCATACCAGGTACATGCACAGCAACGTATGCCTGTATGTATGCATGCATGTACGTCTGTTGTAGAGAGAGGTCGGTAAGTAGATAGACAGATAGATAGGGCGTGTCTGTGACTATCAAAGGTCTTCTCTTTGTGTACCGCTGAGGAAACTTGGCTCTGCATTCGGCCTGGCCTTGGACACGGCTGGAGAAGTTTTCGTGCCTCTGCATGGTGATCTAGCACAGGAAAGATAGCTCTCTTGCAATTTTCCTTTCGATGACGAATCATGGGGAGTTTTCTTTGGTGCCGCGAGCCTTGCTTGCAGTTCTTGTGCTATGCTGCTAGGTTATAACATTCTGGAATCCCGCCGAAGAGTTCAGGCGATGCTAGTCAGGCTCAAACAAAAGTATGTTACTTGCACGACACGAGACGGCGCTTCCCTGCCGCTTAAATTCTCGGAAATACCTTAAATCAGATGTGTGCTCCAAGTTCCTATTTCTGGGATCGCACCTGTCCCAGAGACCCTATCATTGACGGGTAGATCTGTCCAGGCATGGGGGGACAGCACCTATGGGGAGCTGGGCAACGTCTGGGCCTGAGAGTTCGACATGCTTGGCCAACTGAAGGAATAAATATGAATAAGTTTGTGGTCAGCATCCAGTTGTTCTTGACGGTGTGCTTGTAGCTGGAGCTGATCCAGCTGTTGCAAATGGAGCTAATCCAGCGGTTGCAAACAAACAAATGCTGAAGTTGTCTTGCCATCTCGCAGGCCCCGATAGAGCCGCGGGCGCCGCACAGCCCGTTACATGCAGAGACCTCGCAGCTCCCAGGCGCGCGCGTCAGATGGTCCAGAGTTTAGTCTCTTAAGTTGTAAGTGCTCGAACTATTAACACTCCGAGGAAGTACCACTAACGAAGCCGGGATCGAGCATGCGATGATGGGTGATACCTGCCGTCAGCCTGTCGTCGTCAGCTCATGAGTACTTGTAGCATGTTTTTCTTCTGCACCATCGCCATCGTCATGTATCAAAACACCACTGCAAGCCGTGTTATTGTGATTCAGTTGCTATTTTCACTGCCAGTGCATGTTCGAGTTCAGGGTTTTGACTCATTTTGCAGTCGAGTGGGTTCTGCTTGACTGCTTCCCCTGGTGTATGATTAGGAATTAGGGTAGTATAGCGGTAGGATAAACTGTAGTACAAGCACTCCCTTAAAGTCCTCATTTGTACCACAATATCCCCCAAAGCCCTGTTCTCATGATGACGGCCATAGTCCCTGGTAAACTCTCACCCTGAACCATAGTATTTGCTGTAGATTGCATTTGATTGCCAACTTCTCCTCGCCTGGCCGAGTTCCGGGAAAAGTCGTCCTCCCTCGCGATCCAGCTCCACGAGCACAGGAGAGGTTTAGGCACACGTTATATGATTATCTGTAGGTATGTAACTAATGTGAAGTATATGTTATAGAGTATAATTTTCATGTATCATACATCGTGTTGTGTCATATTGCTTTGCGGTTTGTTAATATGTATGATGAATTGTGGACTCTCCCGTGGATGTCCTTGTGAAGCGGAGCAAGCTAGGACGCGGCTGCCAAGAAGGAGGGTGCAGACGACAAGCCGAAGGCTCGAACGGAGCGGTGAATGCCTCGTGCCAAACTCGATCATGAATATGTGTGCATATATACATATGCATATATATACATATATATATGTATAGTCATTATGCATTTTCGTTTATTTCTTTTATCACTACAAGTACCATCGAGCGCCAGGCCGTCATTGACATCGCCTGTGGCGAGCGTTTCTCCTTGCTGCTGGACGAGGAAGCCACATGAAGCCACTGCATTGGGGGTGTCTCCTGTGCTTGAATCAGTAAGGGGGCCATCGCCTGCATGTCCGCCGTCGCTATCCATGGTCTTCTCTGTGCGTGTGTGTTTGCGTGTGTGTGTGTGTGTGTGTGTGTGTGTGTGTGTGTGTGTGTGTGTGTGTGTGTGTGTGTGTGTGTGTGTGTGTGTGTGTGTGTGTGTGAATGTCTGACTGTGCTGTGCTTCTCGGTGTCGTTTCTCTGGCCCCCCGGTGTGTTATACTATACGTTATATATAATACTAAGGAACCCGCAAACATAGTGTTGGCAACTATGCTTTCCTTTCTTTATCCAACACTCACCCACCTTCCTTGCCTTTCACGAGGATGGTCGCCTCTATGCCTTCGGTGAAAACCTGGCGGGACAGCCGCTTCGCTCAACTCTTTTAGCAGGAGTTCTTGTGGTTTCCCTCCACCATCTTTATTGAAAGGAGTGGCCAGGTCGAAGATCGGGCTTTGACGTCCAGCCTTCCTAGTTGATGGCTTTTTGCTGGATGTTCCAAGGGACACCAGTCCTTTGAAGCACCTTCTGGCAGGTGCGGCGTTCCAGAAGCTGTGGGCTCCGGGCATATCACCGGCTGTGCTGTGCAGCGTGTACGCTTTGTGCCGGTGGAGCGAGCCGGGCCCCTGGAATCTCGGGGCGGGCAACATAGCCTGACTTCACTTGATGGTTCAAGTGGGGCTGGCAGTGTTGTTGATGCTGATGCTGATTTCCGTTTCGCGGGAGCTTTCATCGTGCGATTGCGCGCATGGTTTCAGATCCGATCGTCGATATTCTTCCTCTCCTTGGATTCGTTCTTTCTCGCAAGCAAGGGTCCGAGTGATTTCTCCTACGCACATGCAGACACGACAGACTCAACCTTGAGAGCAAGCACTGAGACCTCCGGTAATGCCTACGCAAATGCCGCAGAAACACTGTAAGCAATGGTTCAAGGCTTCGAGTCAAGAATCTGGAGATCGATGGGCACCAGATACCCTGCAATCCCATATCCTGATACAAGCTGATGTATGCAGGCCTAGAAAATCCTTGAGACCTAGAGGCGAGAAGTTGGGTCAAAGAGAACCCAGGAATCAAGTCGTCGACAGCCGAAGCTGTCGGAGAGCCCACTGAGGCTGTCCCTCATCACGATGGTACGACATCCTACCAGCCAGAGAGTCGCCTGGCTCGGGTTCGGTTAGGGTTTAGGGATCATAATAGGGTTCAGGGTTGAGGGGTTCGGGTTTCGGTTCTCGGAGTGGCTTGCGGTTTCGATTGCAGGCTTGGGTGGATTTCGGTAGAGGGGCAATTGTTGGGGCGATCTCGCGGCTTGGGGGTTTGTGAGTTGTGGTTTCTATTGTCTCACCAGCCGGTGCACAGACTCAAAGAAATTAGACGGAGCATTCTGGCTCAGGCATGCTCAAGGTTTTCGGGCTTTGATAAGTCAATTTTCTCGGCAACTCTTTTGAGAACCATGGCAGATTTCGCTCATCATCATGATGGCCGAGTGCTCCACGCAGGGCATTCCCACGACATGCAGGGCGTGGACATCTCAGAAGGCGACCCCGGCTTTGCCATGCTTCTCACCTTGCTCGCCGGCTTGGCTACGACGGTCGGTGCAGCAATTGCTTTCTGTGCCAACACAGATGACAACCGTGTATTTGCGATTTGCCTGAGCCTGTCGGCTGGGGTGATGGCATACGTGTCCTTCTCCGAGATTCTGGAGATGACAAAGCAGAGCTTCAAGGAGGCCAACCTCACAGATAGGAGTGCCCTCACACTCGGGACCCTGACGGTCTTCTCTGGGATACTCCTCACTTGCTTAGTAGATTCCTTTAGCCACTGGCTGTGCCACAAGAGACAGCCTGGCGAAATTGTTATAAGTGACGCCCCCGTGCCGCAAGCAGATTCCGAAAAGCCCCTGCCCGGCCTGCCAGTCGGCAAGTCCGAGCGGTTGAACATGATACAGATGGCTGCATTCTCAGGGATTGCTGTCGCCTTGCACAACTTCCCCGAAGGCATCGCAACCTTCATTTCGACGATGGGCAATCCCAGCTTTGGGCCAGCGATGGCTTTTGCCATAGCCGTGCACAACATCCCGGAGGGCCTGGTTGTGTCAGCACCCATCAAAAAGGCCACTGGCTCGAAGTGCAAGGCTTTTTTTTGGGCCTTCGCTTCCGGCCTCTCCGAACCACTGGGCGGGCTGCTGGGATGGTTGGTCCTCAAGGACATCCTCGGGCCCAGAACCTACGGCGTTTTCTATGGCCTTACGGCCGGGATCATGATCCACGTCGCCTTTAAGAAGCTGCTGCCGACTGCCCTGAAGTACGATCCGGAGAATCGCTACACGTCCTACTCCTTCTTCATCGGAATGGCCATCATGGCCATCTCGCTGATAGCCTTCAGCTGGGCTTAATTAATTTGCATGACTTGTAAACTGCCAAGATCTATGACCCAAGTTTGGTTCGTTGTAGGTTTGGCATAGCTCAGTGGACCCCTGTTTCTGGTTCCACGGAGGGCAGACTGCCACATTATGCGTAGACTGCCGTAGACTTGTAAGTTTATTTGACCCTGCTGCTATCTCCGAGCTCGCGTTTCTGGTTCCAAGGAGAGCAGAGCCACCGGTAGACTTGTAAGTTGACTCGGCCCTGCGGCAATCTCCGAGCTCAAGGAAGCGTGGGGAAGTGCGGGTGTCTGGCTGACATGTTAGACTTTTGAATCGGTGCGCAGCAAAGAGGGTCTGCCGCACGATCCGCAGAGAGCGGACGACAAAGGTGGATTTGTGCGAATCTCAGGGTGCAGCGGTGCTTGAAACCCGTACTCTCGCCCCGGAAAGCAGCCGAATCAAAGTCAGACGTTGCATGCTCAGGTGGTGCCCGGGTCTATGCTGGACGCTGGCACTCCGCAATGCCTCCTGGCTATGTTGTACCAGAAAACAACGTTGGCTTATATATATATATATATATATATATATGTATGTTTATTGATTGCTTTATGCAGTTGTTTGATTTGTTTGTATGTAGATAGATATAGAGAGCCCACGGCTTCAGAGGATTACTCGCGACCATCGCCTCTACGTTTGGGGTCACCCCAGCAATCGGAAGCTGGGCCACGCTGGCTTCAACCACGATGGCACCGAGGTTGGATCCCTTGCCCGCTGTTTGCAAACCTGACAGGAGGTCTTTCATTGCTATGATTACTTTAATTGATACTACTTCTTCCATTGCTATTACTACTCTAACTGATATTACTACTTACTTTAGTTGATGTTACTACTTTACTTGTAGTTGCTATGACTCCTTTCATTGCTAGTTCTTCTTTAATTGCTGGTTTGTCGTGCTTGTCTTAAGCTGCTATTCCTAGTACCGTTGGGTCTAAGGGCTGCTAGCCCGAAGCCATCTACGGATGCAGAGGATGTTTGGGACTTCGAGTGGCTGAGTTTGGAAACCGTGGCTGTGGGTGTGGGGGAGGAGCTTCGAAGTTCTGAGTACCTACAGGAGGAGCTCAAGGGCTCTTCGGTTCGTAAGAGGATTGGGCATCCACAGGCTTGAAGAAGCTTAATACGGGAGTTTCCAAAAAGTAAGGGTACCTCATTTCGGGGTCCTACTAAAAGGATGCTACTATTTTCTGAAACTCTTTCATCGTCATGACCCGGCTTCATTCACGGACCAGGCCGGCGAAAATCCGGCAGTCGGCGGCGGCAGGGCTTCGCAAAAGAACAAGGAGCCGCCTCGAGATGGGTTTGGCGGATCTCCGTTTGTGGGGTTACATAGGTGTTTCGGGTTTAGGGATTCTTGAGGTTACGGTATGACTGACGATGAACATCGTTGCTGCCCGGCTACCTTAAGTTCTGCAGCCCATGCGAAGTCCTCACATCGGTTTCGCCGAGGGCCAGCAAGCCGCCTCTTGTCACTAAGCTTACCTCTGATTAGTAGGGAATGGAGGAATGGGGTACAATTATAACTACTATTAAATTAAACTACAATTCTTCCATTCCCTACTAATCAAAGGTAAGTAAAGACATCGCAAGACGGGCATCTCTCACACCACTGCAGCCCGAAGGCTCTTACTAGTACTTCATTTCCGCCCGTCCGGGCACAGTGATCTGTGGTTTTGGGGTCCGAGTATGCTCAAAGACCTCGAATTGCATGGCATCTTGAGCAAAGGCCATGAGGGGCTTGCTGGCCTAAGGTGATACTTGTATTATCTTGCATTGTCTTGCTCAACCAACATAGGTGGACGCATAGAAGCAGACCCCGGGAGACAAACGCCCGACCTGCAGGCAAGACCTCCTGGTGTTGCCGTGAGAAGTGCTTTGCGGGATGCCGTGCGCCGGATTCTCAGGCAAATCTGTCAAGAACAGAGGGGAATTCTTGCCGGAATAGGGTTTGAGTTTGGGGTGCATTATTATACACCACAATTACAAACTAGGGTGAGTTAGGGCTCTAGATTCTATAGGATTTCAGATCCTCTTGTTGATTTTGCTGCTGCTTTACATGGTAGGATTTTGTGTCGGTGTCGGCCCATGCCTAGAGCTGCGGCGAAGGGCTTTTGATTGGTTTGCACTCACAGCCTCTTGGGAAACCTCAAGGTCGACCACGCTTGGTTTTCGCAATGCTGCATCGGAGGGTCAGGACGGATGGCGAAGACGTGCTTCAGGAACTGAATATAGGGCCTAAGAAAAGCTTATAGGCTTATAGTAGAATGGGCCCCAAAATCCTTTTCTAATTGTTAAGGCCCCTACAGTAGGACTTCCAAGTCCGATGTCGCAGCGGACGAAGTCGGCGCTGCAGTATTTCCCACGTTGCTTGTGCCGGAAGGAGTGTAGGCCTGGGTGACGAGTGCACTGTCATCGTCTCCGGCGACGGAGGCCGCGAGCACGAGGCCGCGCGGCATGTTTTAACAGCGAGTGTGGATGATTGGCAATGGAAGTACTTGCAACGAGTCGTGTCGAGATCCGCATGAGCGTCGTTGGCTCACTTCTCTGCCACCTCGGAAGCCAGCATCAGCTTTATGATTACATGGGGCATCGGGATACATTTTACGAGGATAAGGCCGATGATATAAGAGAGAGAGAGAAAATTAAAAGTAGCGACTACTTTCACTATAAAGGAGCATTACTCCTCAGAGCCTCAGAATGTGCCCGACCCTCAACCCTCGGAAGTCGCAATTCCGCCCTGCTACAGGAGGATCCGCTGATGCCAGCCACCCGACAAGCATTTCGACGGGTTTCGGCTTCGGGGAATAGGGTAGGCTTACTCGGCACGAGTGCGATGTGCTTGGGGATTCTGGCCGGGCGAGCACTAATCAAGCCTGTGGAAAAAATGGTAGGCTTACTCTAACTCCTTCGTGAAGCTTCAGATTACGGTGCCTGGCGGACAAAATCACTTCTGGACTCTGCTTAACGTTGAGGAGTAGCTCGAAGCAGCCAGGGTTTGCAAGTTACCAACACTTGCTCTGTCCGGTCGATTCAGTTCTTTTCTACCAGTAATACTACACCGTAAAACCCTAAACCCTCGGAGCTTGAGGGGACCTGTAGTGGCCGATTCTCAGGGCTTCGCCTCCGTGGTTGCATCCGACATGCCCAAGGCCTCCGAGACTCTCGGCCAGGAATGTTTTTTTTTCAGAACATTTTTGCCTCAGGTCAAAAAATACATATATATATATATATATATACACATACTGCTTCTTGCTAATTTTACTGGTTTTGAGTGTAGTAGTATGCGGTAGTGGTAGGCGCTAACCTCTCAGGATGGAGTTTCCACGGGACTTGCCCGACCTCGAGGCGCGAGGGGCAGCAGTTTCGATAGGCTCGGGGCTTGCAGGAGGTAGGCGGCGTGGCATGCAAGCTTTCGGAAGAGTCGTGCATGTGTGCCGCATGCGTCAGTGTACATATGATTGGGTGGAAATACGTAGACACCGGCAGTAAGCCGCAGGATTCTATGCATCAGATTTTTCCCTTCGTGTTGCTACTCACCAGTTCGTAAGGCGGCATGATACCAGGCGCAGAAGTGACAAGCGGAGTGAAGCGGTGCGTTAATTTCAGTGGTGGTTGAGATTCAGCGGCATTCAGTTGTTGCCTTTAGGCATTGGAAACACCCGCGGAGAACAGCCGCGAGGAAGAGGAAGAGGGCGTGGCTCGGATCGCAATTGTTTGTTCCATGGCGAGTAGAGCAGGGATGGACGCTGTCTGGTCTGCCTGGTTCATGACTGGGCCTACAGGTAGATGGACGAACATGTGCCCAGATCCAGAGTCCGCGTAGCTTTATGAAGTCCATCAACCCAAGCCGAGCTTGCCCGGTGCTCAGAGGTCTGCATGCAAAAAGAGCAAGAATCACCAGTTCCTCACGAAACTTTGCCGGCAATATGTTCCTGAAACAACGTGTCGCAGACATGCATTTTGTCCTGTTCCCGTTGCTGCACAAGTTATTCAGAGCTTGTGTTTTGTAGACGTCGCGAGTAACGTCGCATTTCGGCGGCAAAGAGCCAACAGATTTTCAGGAGACGCGCTATTCGTTGTGAGCGTCCTGCCCGCTGGCTTTCTTATCTGGCTGGCACGTGCGAGAGGCCGTGGCGGTGCTGGCTCCAGGTTATAGTAATGTAGTAGGAGCAGATTTGAATGTTCGTGACAGGTGGTGGGGTGAGCAGAGAGTGCCGTGAGTATGTGCTGCTCGCCTAGTGTGAGACATCTGCAGAAACAGGATCTTCTTAGTCCCGTGACTCTTGAAGCTCTGAGCCTGACATGCACAAGCCGCTCCCCCCAAGGGCCCCAACCGCTGCCCTAGCTAGATGGGAGCCATAGAGTCATAGAGTGGGATTCAGGTCCTCGCAGTTCGAACTTCCTATTTATGAGCCAGCACGAACAGCATGTGTCGGACCCTATTTCTATCTGCTTCCCAGGCATGTGAGCGGGTCCGGGACTCCAATGTCGCGGGCAGCCCAAGTTTGGTGCTCTCACTGCTAGTCCCAAAGCGGAAATTTCGACGCATGAGATATGTCGTTGTCATGTGCCACCTCAAGCCGATAAACGCCAAGTTCAAACGACATATCAGGGTTCATGATTCCCGAATGTTGCCGTGCTGCTTCAGCATGCTTCTCTTTCACCTTGGAGTTGGGCTCCATACGCGTGCCAATCCAAAGCGAGCTCCACAAAAAGTGTCGCATGGCCGATATTGTCCTCTGAATCCTCCAGCAGACGTATCGAAGAACCGGGCATATCCAGCTACGAACTTTTAGCCGAGTTGCACCTTACAAGAATCCATCCAATCCAGATGCCCACCGCATCCTAGCGGCCCGCTCAAATTCGAGCGCTCGGCCTAAGGACGACTTAATGTTGATTGAGGCTTCGGCATAGCGAGTAGTAAGAAATTCGTCTGGTACACTTTAAAATACGCCCTCAAGCTTCCTTAGTTCAATCATGAAGTAAAGCCCCTGTTCGAGGGTGTAGTAACTCGCAGGGCTCTTTCGGAATGTTTCGTGGATACCCACCGTGTGCGGATGCTACTTCTTCATGTTTGGGGATTGGCATAATGACTCTGAAGTAAAATGCGTTTCAGGCCAGCCTAGATCTCAGAAAATGTCCGCGAAAGCGCATGTCAAAGCAGACGTCTGTGAAACTTCCAACGTTGCCTTGGTGATGGCACGCAGTCGTACAGTGGTGGCTACTGGTAGCGTTTGTTTCCCATTCCCTTTTCCAGAGAGTCGCATGTATGCATACATACAAGACTTTCATGTATGTATATGTAGGTATGTATGTACGTAGGTAGGTAGCTGTGTATATGCACACAGCAGCAGATATAACTGTAATTATGGAGACTATAACATACATAATGTAAAGTGATGTAACCACCCACACCCACACACGCATGCATGCATTCGTCCATACACTCATGGTTGCATGAGTCCACGCCCTCGTGTATACTATGTGTGTACATATGTATGTATATATATATATATATATATATGTATACATATATATATATATATAATATACATATATATATACATATATATATATATATATATATCGGTATCTTGTGACACAATACGCAGGTGTCAACCATTGTTTCCATAAGTATTCACACCTGTTCATAGATATTGCTAGCGCAAGTCTCCTTGCTGTTGCTGAATTCGGTTTGCCTATGAAAACCTGGGCCAGGGACGGCAACAGAAGAGCGTTTTCCAACCGAGAGTGCACTGGACTCGGTCCGCCGATTAAGGCGCGGAAGGGTGGCTGGTGGCAGGGCTTCTTTTGGGGTTTAGGTCGGTCGGATTGATGCGGTTTTTGATTTCAATGACTCTCAGGGGTCGGACAGTTTGTTGACCCACGGCAGTCTAGTGTGGCAGAGCTTTTCCCTCCACTTCGCAATGACTCGTGAATTTCGCTTCGCAGATCAAACAAAGGAGCGTTCCTGAGCAAGGCACCTGTATACTTAATTCATGATTGTCTCCTGTACCACTATATGTCTGTCTATAGTGTGAGGCAGCCTGTCGACACGGCAAGTTGCAGCCCAGACAGCGTCGCTATTTGGACAATCCTGCAACTGCTACGTAGGCGCAACGATGATGTGACGCAAGGGTGTGGACTAAACCCCTATATTGTTCGCCCTGCACTCAGTTGAATTGTAGTATGCGCTTCGGACAGGAAAGAGCTGCCGCCGAAGCCCATTGTATGCATCCTGGGCGGCACGGCCATCTCGAAGGCAGATACCCAGGCCTGGATCCAGGGGCTCGAATGCGTTAAAGCACTGAGATCGATCGCTTCAGCGGCAACCTGACAATTGCAAAAGCAAAGGGGGTTAGCCGCCCAAACGCGCTCCATCGCCACAGTCTACCCGTAGTCCAGGAGAGCTCCATCCGGAGCTGTAGCTGTAGCCAAGCCAGGAAAGCCTGCAGACTCATCTGCAGAAGCTGTAGCTGTAGCCAGGCCAGAAAAGCCTGCAGACGTATCCGCAGAAGCTGTAGCTGTAGCCAGGCCAGGAAAAACTGCAGACGTATCCGCAGAAGCTGTAGCTGTAGCCAAGCCAAGAAAAACTGCAGACTCTTTAGCAGAAGCTGTAGCTGTAGCCAAGCCAGGAAGAACTGCAGACGTATCCGCAGCAGCTGTAGCTGTAGCCAAGCCAGGAAAAACTGCAGACTCTTTAGCACTGAGATGACCTGCTGTCCCTTCTCACATCAGACCGTTGTGTGTGCACCTGCCAGGAGACTGCCGGTTTCTCAGAGTGGGCAAGGTGGTGAGGACACATGTGCAACCGACGCACGATTATGACGAAGACACCCGCAGATACAACCACATGTGGCAGGCAGGCACGGCCAAACAACAGTGTAGCCAAATGAATGAGAACGACAGAAACCAAGGCAGAAACTAGCGGCGTCAACAGCTGCCACAGAATCAGCCCGATCAGAAGCAGCAGGATAAAACGGCAGCGCAGTACAGTAGTGACTAGCTGACTAGCTTCTGTTCTGAACTGTTTCAACTCTGTCCCTGGGTGCTTGTGTTCGTTTTCCCTTGTATGGGGCTCGTCATGAAGGTTATTCTGGGCGGTTTGGGAACTTCTTGGGCACCGCTTGCGCAAGTCTTAGATTCAAGCCTTTGGTTAGAGTATACTTATACCTTTATATCAGTATATATATATATATATATATATATTTCTATTTCTATCTTGGAGTGTACTGGACATGATTGTCGACAGGAGCGCCTCCTTCTATTGTCCTTCTCCCGCGGGAGCTCTCTTCTTTCTGTGGGGCTTTGGCTGCCTTCTTCTGTCGGTTGGGTACGGTTGCGGGGGCTTCCTGGCCGAACCTCTTCATCCCTCTTCTACCGGCAGTTTCCGTGCCTTGCCTTTTTGCAGCAGCGCTTCCTGCTTGATGATCCCGATCGTTCGTGTTCGTGTGTGTGTGTGTGTGTGTGTGAATGCAATCTTTGCAGGCTACTGGCATAGGTTATGCTGAGTAGGGATTGTAAGTGTGTGTGTGCGCGCCAATTTCAAACATGGGGTCACTCGGCGACCCACCGTGGTCATTGTCCGCGCAATTTCCCAAGCAGTCACATGAGTCAAACCACCTATACTCTCACTGCCCTATCAGCACTTCACCCGTCACCCGATCAAGCTGTAGCAGTATCTCTTGTAGAACATAGAATCAGTACGTAGCCTCTGCGCCCAAGGTTAAGGAATTGGCCGATGCTTTGAGTGCCAGAGTCGGTTCTCGAGCCGTCTTCATGACCGGTGGCATGGCAGGAGTCCGGGACTCAGACAACTTTGCCTTGCTCTGCCAACAATATGACCTACGACATGCGTTCATTCGTGCATGGCTCCGCTTCCTGATCAAGATCTGATCGTCGCCGCGGTGTTTGCGTGTGTGTGGACAAAGGTGCAGAAGGCATTCGCAGACAGCTGCCCTGAACACATGCCGCTCTTTCATCTCACGCCTTTTGGCCGAGGGCTCGGATTAGTGTCTGTTCTGACAACAACAACTCGCTTGCTTGTGGCTGTGGCGATGTGTCTTTATGATCAGGTGAGAAGAGCAACTTCGATATGGGGCAGGATGTCCATGCAGGCCAAGCATGTCTATGGCAATGAGCCATGCCACGATCTGTTTTGCACTTACCTTGAGCTTACAGGTGCTTCTTTGGCGGAAAGAAAGGACGGGGTGTTTAAAACTCTTCGCCTTGCCTGGCAGCGTGTCTCCCCCGAGCATCATGTTGTCTGCCTGGGAGGACGTGTATGGTTTGCTTGGCGATCTGTACATCACGATCGAGGCTGCAGCACGCAAAGCATGGCATCAAGAGCAGAGAGCAAGGCACTCCGACCACAGCGAGACTAGCATGCTTGCGCCAGAAGATCTTTGCCTCTTGTGACGCCACGAAGGACCACAGACTCCCACCCAGCATCCGCTAACAACCACTTCATCTAGCACTCCGCCTGCCACCCCCCACAGCACGACAACAGCAGCGCTATGGCAAACGTGAGAATGTGAGAACCTGTCGCGTATCAGTCTGAAACAGCCAGACAATCTAGACGCTTGTCATACCTTCAAACTCCCATGACTCCCCGACGACTTCAAGCCCGGAAGCCCTACACCCGAAACCCTACCCTGAACCCTTAAACCTTGAATCTTTACCCGTAATTAACGCCCTCAGCAAGCCCTTCGGAAGCCTTGCAAACAGGGCGGGCCGGGAGTCGCTGGGGAAGCCAAGGCGAATATGAAACTTTCATTTTGAGGACTTATGCGCGTTGGGGTTGTAGTCGTCGATTTTTCAAGGGTGTGTTGATGGGAGTCTAGTAATCCCAGGTTTTCCGAACTGCTTACACTTTCACCGTTCCTGCACACCTGGGCGGTCTTCCATCGTGGTCGCGAGCCCTTTAGTCCCTGACGAGGACATCCACCTTAATTGTAGAGGGATCCGTAGTATGATTTAAGGACTGATTTAAGGTATAATGTATTGCTTGTTTAATTTATTAGGAGGCAACTCCTGGGCGGGCTAGCTCGGTTCCTCGCAGCTGAGAAGGTGTGGATTCCAATGTCTGGGCTCAAAGAACCCACCTTGGCCTACAGGCTTCAGGCCTCAGGGTATGGTTGTAGAAGCAGGTTTCGGAAACCGTCTGTCAGTTTTCTAGGGCTCCAACCTGAGACCGAGACTTGCCTGACGCGGCAGGGCAACAACCAGTCGCAAGACTAGAGCTGTTGCTATCACCAACAACGAACAGAGGGTAGCCAGCAGCAAAACCCGAAGCATGTTGCAGCATCAGCTGAACTGGGATGATCAAGACCTTATACGTCTTGTTCACAGCTGTGCTTGGTCAAGATTCGAGATCTTCGCCGCGGTCTAGGAGTGCAGGGTCTGACTTCGCATTCGCCGGCATGACACACCAACCGTGCAAGGCTGCCGCTGAGCGTGGCGCAGCTGTCACTTGGCTAAAGATCCCATCACCATCCTAGACCCCTCACGACCCATGGGTTGAGACGGCTAATTCGAAGATCGAAGGGCAGATGCGGAAAGATGGGGAACAGGCGGGGTTGCTGGAACGCTGCTCGGACCGGCCACACCCTTCCCATTTGTGTGCGACCTGTTCCTAAATCCGTAAGTGCTTTGGCCTTGGTTTCTGCATTTGCTCCGCGCATGTTACGGTGCAACAATGCTTTGAATTGTGTTGTGCCCAGGTGATACCTCTGATTCGTAGCGGCGGTGCCACTCTCCCAGTTCTCTAGATGGCCGTAGATGGCAGCTTGCACAAGGTATCTCAAGGTGTCGTGCAAACCAAGTGTTGAGTATGTCGTCATTTTCGCTTAGGTCTGCAAGGTTGGACCCTGTGACTTATGGGGAGGGAGAGAGATAGAGGCTCAGACCGTGGCGAAACGAGATGGGGTGCACTGCTGTAGCTCCAGGCCGGAGCGGCGACCGCATTGGCCCACCGAAAAAATGTGCACGAGTGTGTCTGATACTTAGGCCAGCGCAGGGATGTTCGCAGCGAGCTCAGTTCAAGTTTTGGGCGCCGGTAGCGAAGGTCCGGAGCCGTCACTTCCGGTAGAGGTCTGTCGGAGTCGGTTTCGGCAGACTGCTCATTATGCCCTGGAGCGAGATGGGTGGAGGCTTTCGGCGCTGGAGTGGAGTTGAGTTGCAAAGGGGGGGATGTTGGGGGCATACATGGTGTCACAATCGTACCATATCTCCGTAGCTGGGAGCCATTGTCGTCTCAGGACTTCCCCGCCGGAGCCCTGAACAAGCCTGCATGGGCTCTTGAACCACAGTGGGCTCTTCTGTCGAAGGAGGTGGCCCCGGATTTCCGGCGAGTTGCATGACGGAATTTCGAGTTGGGGGGAAGGGATATGGAACATAAGGGGCACTTCAGAACACTGGCGCAAGATCATGTTGGTTTCGTGATCCCTTGTTAGCAAATCATCGCAGAGCCGATGCTTCTTGAAAGCCTGGACCCAGGAGAGACTAGGTGACCAGGTTTTCGCAGGTGGCGCAGCAGTATATGACAACCTAGGTTTCATCGTATTTCCTGCGCAAGCTTCAATTTGCGGTGTTTTGTGGCCTCGGGTTTTGGCACCTGGCCTTCGGCAGATGTATTTTATTCCAGCCTCTGTCCACAGTTTGCGCAATCACCCGATGCCTTATGGCTTTGCATGGCTGGGATATTCGCATCGGAATGTGTAGCGATGGGATCCCGGAGGGAAGGCGCCGATCTGGTGCTTGCCGCCTGTTTGGCACCATGGTTTGTCCTGAGTGAATCTCGGACCCTGGACACCATTACAGCATGTTCCTTCACTACTCAATAGCCTGTAGAAAGTTGGTGTGACGCAGTGCATCCTTGACCTGTTGCCCCCCTCTCTCCAGAGATTTCACTGCATGTGCGTTTACCATAAACCCAACACCACTTCTTGTCAGGAAGCCGCAAACAAGGAGGCACCACCAGCGTTTTTTTTCCGCAGATGCGGTGCATTTGATGAGGGGTTTGTTCTGACTGTCCAGACGATCGTTTGTTTGTGCTTCTTCCGCAAGTCAATTTGCAAGTTTTTGCTGTCGTTGGTCGATGTGTCTGTTTGCGGCAAGAGAGGCCGCTGGAGGATTACATGGGTCGTTGTGATCATTGTAGTCGCTGGATGGTTCCTTCACATGCACGCGTCCACGGTGCGACTCTGAAACCTCATGACAAGCGCAAGGACTTTCCCAGACACAGACTTGTGGCAAGAAATTGCTGCAGAAGCCCGGGCACACATGCATGCCTGGAGGTTGCGACTGCTATGGTGTTGCTCGTGGAGTGCTTTTTGCAGGACTACAGGGGTAGGGACGCCCATGTAGCCATGACAAACTCATGGGAACAGGGGGGGGGGGGCGTTTGGTCAATGTCTTTTCTGTGCGCGTCCGATGGATAGATCGGGTTTACGCCCGGTTCATCATGGCCCCATATACTGTATGGTTTTGCATATGCTGGTCACAAATATCTATACTTATAACATGTGTATACATGTGTCGTATGTTCGGATTCTGCGACCTAAAGCACACCAGCCGGCTTTGGTATTTAGGGCTGGGGGTGGGATACGCCTTACTCTGTCCGACTGTTGGCTTACTTTCGATTGCAAGTGGGCAGATATGTGCAGCAGGCACATAGCTGCTTCTTCTCCGAGTTTTTTTCCGGCAAACGCAAGCTTACTTGGGCTCAGGCCAGGCGTACGGGCATAGCTTTCCAGAGTACCTTCGATGTAGACTCCATGACTTGCTAAAGCCATACAAGCCATAAAACCATGAACTGCATGGTCCGAGGCGGCTACATCAGCCGTAAGAGGCATTACCCCCTCCTTAGAACCTCGAAGCATGTTTTCATTGTAAGGGTATACCTACTGTCACTGTTGGCGGACCTTGGTCGTGCTAGTGCCTCCTGCTCTTGCTCCTGAACCCTCCCTAACCCAAATCCGGTCTTAAACTGCAACGCGGGCTTCGTCTTAGCGCAGGTGGGAGGCAAAAAACATCAGGCTTTCAAGGCAGGGATGGTTTGACGGAGATTCTCCGAAAAGTGATGTAGAACCTGCCGTAGGGTATAATTATTGAACGCGGCAAATGATCTTATCATAGAATCATATGTATATATATATATATATATGTATATATACATAGATAGATGTACTATGTAGGTGGTCAGTGCTCTCGCCAGTTCTCCCGTCCCCGAAGGATCTGCACAGCAGGGGAGGGCCAGGCTCTCATCTTCGCAGATATCAATGCTTGTGCTGATGAGGGCGGCACTGACGAAAGTGATGCGTTGATTTGAAGATACTGGTAGTGCAAACGACGTGGCGGAGGATGATTTGCGCAACTGGCGGCACGTTAACGCAGGTGTGTCGCTGATGCTTCTGATGATGGTCGTGATGTTAAGCATCGCTTCTTTCTTGTGAGCACCATGGAAGAAAAAGACTCCGACGACAACGACGAAAACATTGGGCTTTGTAATACCAACAGCAGCAACCACAAGAGTAGCAATGCCGGTCCGAGTCTTTTTCGCCAGTATCTACATCGCTACCAACAAAGCCATCACCGCTACTGTCGTCACCCCTAAAAAACAGAGCATCCTATTCGTATCCTCACCGCCATAGACGGCCAGAGTCTACGCCGACACGGATGCTGATTGCAGCCTTGGTCGTATTGACTTCCCTCAGCCTGTTTCATCATCGCGGCCAATTTCGCAATCCTAGGGTTTGTGTGGCTGTCACTGCGGCTGCTGCTGCTTGGGCTGTTGCTGAACCTTTTGCTGGTGCCGCTGTTTTTGTCGGTGGTGGGGCTGATTGCATTGCCCGGAAATATTGGGCCCATGCAGCTCGGATATACGTGCCTGCTGGATTCTGAGATGTCCCATATTCGGGTAGGGCATCGGAGTCTTGTTGGTTCTTGAACTTTGCCGCATCAGAAGTTGCGGCCCGAGGCGAAACAACTCTACTACTCCCTGGTCGTACCGTGCTTGGCAACCTGTGTGTGTGTGTGTCTGTGTGATTTGTTTGTTTGTTTGTGTAGCGGTGCGGTTTCAAATTTCGGGATGCGTCGGGGACTACGTGATTCGCGCTGTGCTGGTAGGTTTTCAGCGAGGCTGGTTGTGTGCTGTTTGTCTTCCGGCATGACATTGTTAGGATCTTCAGTAAGTGCACTTGAGATGTCTGATACTTTGGGGTTTGGGCATGTGATTTGGCCAGCATGCTCCTGGGCCAAGGCCTACTACAAAACGGCACAGAATTTACATAGCAAATGTAGACTATTTGGCGGATCTCGGCATTTTGTGGGTTGTCTTGGGAGGGTGCTGATTTTGGTTTTACTTCTTGGAGGAGGTTGGGCACGAGTTAGCATCACAGAAATAACTGGCAACGTCCTGCTGCTGAGGTTGAGAGCCGCCACTGTTGCCCCCGAGCCCTTTGAAGGACTTGAGTCCCAGTATAAGCGCGAAAGTCTCTGTTGCGCACCCCATGGCCTAGGGCAGCAAACTTGACAGTCACAGATATCATGTCGTCCCTGCCCGCTGTGATTTTCAAAGCATAGTGCTCGCAGCAGAGGCAGATGTTATGTCCTACTCCGGTGTTGCATGATTTTACACCTGTAGACGATGCACCCTGAAACTGCACACTGCGAGCTGCCGATGAGGCATCCAAAGTGGAGATAGTTAACACTTACGTAATATGGATCCTAAGAGTGAACTTGGAACCCAGAACATAACCCTGCGGCAACATGTCCTGCATGTTTCAACCCTGAAAGCCATACAGCCTTAGCAGCTTCCGATACGAAACATGCCACGCTGCGGTAGACACACGGCCAACTCTAACCGTATCAACCACAAAGCCGATCTGCTGCCTGCCCGGGCTTGCGATGTGGGAGCGAAAGAAGCTCTTCAACCCAGGACCCTCTAAAATCTGACTGTAAACTATATACTACAGGCCCTATACACTAAGGCTCCCTAGTAGTTCCTTGTTGGGGTTACCTTACAGGCTTCTAAATATGAATCCCAAAACGGAACTACTATGGAGCCTCTAGGTAGACCCTTACGGCTATGCGACATAGACGGCCAGCCTTCGCCCCTAGAGCGCCTTAGCTCCCCAGGCCTGGCCAGAGGTGACTTCCCCCCATTGTTACTGGCTCAGGGGGGGGTAGGTTTAGGGTTTAGGGTTTAGGGTTTAGGGTTTAGGGTGGGGGGGAGGGGGGGATTGATCGAGTGCAGTGGTGGGGGGGTTCAGGGTTTTGAAGGCTTCGGATCATTCGAGTGTTGAGACATCGACCTCGCCCGACACATCCACGCCTTAGAACATGGCACCTGTTGAGTTTTGCAAGGCTCGTTGTGTCACGTTTTCGATTCCGATCGAGGCCGCCCCTGGTGCAATGAACCAGAAGACTGAGGGCTGGGCGAATAGACCCTTTTAACCCTCTCTCAACATGTGTTATGCCATCTCAACCTGCAGGTAGCCAGAGGATGGCAATCCAACGATTTCGAGCCTCAAGACAAGGCCTTAAGAAGGCCATCCGTGCCTCCGCACACAGGCTCCAGGATTGCATCAGCCGTTCCGGTCATCTGAAATAGTGTGTTGCATATGAAACTGCACCGATTTGCCGGAAAGCCGATCCTGACGTCTGAGATGTTTAGACAGGCCTTACAGCCCTTCAGTTCTTTTGAACACCTCGTACTGCTTTTTGGGTTGCCTGACAAGGGAATATGCCCCCACAAACTATAACTATGGTAGTTGGATTGCAGGGACAGCCCATCAGAATCAGTGACGGCATACTAGGGGTCCAAGAGGTTTTTGGTCTCTCATGTAGACCCCTGATTTTTGTACCCTTTCCCCATCCTTCAACAGGGGATAACCACAAAGATCACCATACTCCTACACGAGGCTATTGCGAAAATCACGGGTCTACAGCATGGCATGTGTGGACACATGCTGACTCCTGGGCCTCGTCCCTGAGTGATCGTTCAAATCGGTTCTCAAGGACGTAAGATCTTGGGACAGGCTCGCAAGAAGGTCAAATGTGAGGATGAAAATGCAGCCAGCACTCGCCATTTGCGCCTGATCATGACCTTCTGGCTGCTTCAGTCGTACATGTTTTTCAAGTTTCACTTTCCCAGCAGTAGGTTTCTGATACAAGGCGTGGCGTGCAGTGCGTCGCAGGGGCGATTTTCCTTCCAAGCCAGACTGGGGCCAAAACCCGGCAACTGGGGGAGATATCGAAGACTAGAGTAGCTCCACTGCGCGCCTTAAGCCTCTCCTGGTGATTGAAAATGGCCATAGGCCTCCACCGGCATGCTTTTCTGCGCCTGCTTGCTCCGCAG